AAGGAATATGTTATCTTATCTTATTTTTGACTTTTAAGTTTATATTAGTGTATTAAAAATAGATTGATAGGTCTTGGTTCCAGTAAGCAAAGCTACTTTCAGAAACGTTGAGCCCTTATGACCCAGTTCACATCCTCCGGTCCTCAGCTGGATCCTTCTGGTTGTTTCAAAGTCGAGACTTAAATCTAAAGGTGACCGAGCTTTTGCCATCAGGACCCCTCGGCTCTGGAAAGACGGTTTAGCTTTGTCTGTCAAAGCACTTTGTAAACTCTGGTGCTCTATAAATAAAGTTATCATCATTATTATTATTACACGCTTGGAAGGCGAGGGGTATTCAGTTTGCTACAATCTGCAACTTTGCAGCTAGAAGTCACTAAATCCTGCACACAAGTCCTTTCAGTATAAAATCAGTTTACTGTCAACATTTCAAACATTTACAAAACTAAAAGCAAAAGTGTTGTAAAATTCAGTTTTTAATATTATCTTTTTACAGATCAGTGTTTAGTTTGACATCAACAAAGAAACATTCTCCTGAGATTATTATAAAATACAGTAATTATAAAAATGATATCATAAAAAACATAAATCATCAATAATTCGTAGCCGTATGTTTATAATAACATTGTGCTGATCATGAGAACAGAAACTGTTAGAAACCAGTGGTGAAAAGTACATTTACTCGATTACTGTACTAAAGTACAATTTAAACCACTCCTAAGCCCCGCCCTCTTTTGCTCTCTGCTCCAATCACAGTTGAGCAAGCATCGGTCAACTTCCTCCTTCCCTCTACTTAGATCTGCTATGTGCTAAGTTAATGTCTGTTGAAAAGACACATTTTAAAGATGGTTTAAAGATATAAGAAACATTTAATAATCATATCTTTCATTAGCTAATATTAGCAAAACACTGCATCAATTGTTAATCATAGCTTCCGTATTGCTAACATCAGTGAGAAGCTGAGAGACTGTAGAGAAAACTACCAACGTAACTTTGGAAATAAACTAAATCAGGTGTTTGCATTTACTGATATGTTCATGTGTTTGTTGGTTCATGGAGAGTCGGTGCGGTCGTACATTTTGTTTTAGATGACAAACTTTACATCACGAGTGTTTAGTAAATTTAAAGCTTCCTGAAGAGAATAAAGGCTGGATCACTGTTATGTTAGAGTCAGACACTGAATGTGTTAAACTTTATGTCAGTGGATCTGAGAGGACTGAAGTCTGCAGACGGGAGGTGATGATTGGACGGCCGGTGTCAAGCAGCAGCTTTGGTTTCCCACTCCTGCAAAAACAGAAACAGCAGAGTTTACTTACTTACTTACAGACGGAGGATTCAGTAACACGTATACATTATGTTCATATATTATATGTTAGTTAACTTGTTGTAGAGCAACTGAACAACATGACCTCACAGCAGTGATGTAAAGGTGTACTCTAGGTCACTGTGACATCACTGTTAGGGTTATGCAACACAGCCATAGATAAATACTAGAACCAGACACTATAACTACACAGTCTGGAGTATTATTATTCCCAGTGGCCACTCACAGATGATGCATTTTTCAATTTGATGTTACCTCTGTAGCTCGTAGCGTAACATTAGCTCTCTGAGTGGAGGGAACTAGAAATATTTAATAACTTTATTAATATAATTAATTCCTGATAATGGCTTCATCCCTTATATCTCCGCCCTGAATGTTATTTATTTTAAAGATCCCCATAAAGCTCATATCATAATTCGAACGATAATTTAACACTTGATCAATTTTGGTCAATAACTTCAAAATAATTCTACATGATGTGATTTATATTTAAGGTTCTGTAAATATAATTAAATATCTGACCTTCCTCTTCTGGAAAACCTTTCCATGTTCGATGAACAGCGCCGAAGGAGCTCGTCTCAGAGTGTTTTTAGCTGAGGCCGTCCGTCGCAGCAGGGGGTTCAGGAAGCCCGCCTGGACCAGCAGAGACCAGCAGAGGTTACCAGCATAGACCAGCACAGACCAGCAGAGGTTACAGCAGAGACCAGCAGAGACCAGTCAGAGACAAACAGAGGTTACAGCAGGGACCAGCAGAGACAAGCAGAGACCAGTGAAACCAGTGAGCAGTGTGCAACCCCACATTGTAATTTCATATCAAGAAATCTGTATTTTGAGCTGTTGTTCCTACCTGAGCACGCTCAGTGCAGACGGCCAGCGACTGTCTAAAGGTGCGTTTGTTTTGCTTCCCAGCAGACGCCAGGTTGGTCTCTGACCCCGCCCTCAGCTGCACCGTCCTCTTCCCGGTCAGCTCCAGCTTCTGAACGCCACGCTCCACTTCCACCGACTTCCTGTCTGAAACACAGCGACAACCAAACATCTTTTACTCCCAGGCTGCGAGTGATTTGGATGAATTTTGGGCAGATTATTTCCCATTTGGATATTCTTTGTCTATATTTTTGGATATTAACTTAATTTCAACAGTCATAACAAATATTTTATTATGACATCTGACAAAGAATTTCACTTTACATATTTTTCACAGAGACGTGACAAAATACTGAGATAATAGGCCTACTTGTATATTTTCTAGCATCCCTAATGGAATCAAGACTGGAGTTTGTAAAAGACGGATGAGCTGAAGACTCCCACTGTGTGTGGTGAAGTACGGTGTTACTGTATGGTCACCGAGTCTCTGGACCGACACGAACCTACAGTGAACTGATCCTGCACTGAGCTGAAATAAATGAATTGAGATCACAAAACCAGATCATTAATATTAATACCCATAAAATATATATGTAAATACATCCTGAATTACTTATCTCCAACCTCTGCCTCAGCCACATTTCATCTGATATTCTGTACATTCAACATATTTATTTTTAAGGTTAAATACATGTATTATG